CTCATCTGATATTGATATAGATTTGATATCATTCGTATTGACCTTCATCTAATTCCATATTGTTACGGAAAATAACGCATATAGATCTTGAGACAATTCACATATATTATTATATATTTAATAATTTCCTATTTAACTGATTCAAAGAGATTATATTTTTTTCTTAAACGCAGTCAATATTAACTTAGTACATAGATAAATATATTTAAATTACAAATCATTCACGATATTGTAGTGTGTGCTACTGATATCAATAGATATAAGTAGTATGTACCATCAGTCGAAAGTGAAATATCTGGCGGCAGAAAGTTAAGAAGATCGAAGAAAAGAGAATGATTAGTGTGGAAACGAAGGGATAGTCATGTCTGAGACGATTGGTTGACATTTTGCAAATGAAGTATTTACTGTATGGTTCTCAGATTTTTGCTAAGAGATTCGGTAAATTTATGTTTAAATATATTTCGTTGTACTCATCGATGTTCTCGTTTACTACAATATAACTTAATTCAATACGAAAGAATATTGATTTTGAAATGTGAACATACATTTTATAACATCAAATTATATATCAATAGGACATGGATACATTCATTGATTTGTCGATATTCAGGACATTTTCGAAAAACATTTACTTTATATTATTTTAAATATTCATCATATCCAGACTATGAATGTTTATAATAGCTGGGTAAAGTACCGTTTAATATCTACTAACCTTTCAAACTGATATCATATGGGATGAATATCGAGAAACGAGGGAGATTGAAATATATATATATATATATATATTGCCATAGTTCAGGATTTCTTACAAATCTTATACTTGACTGAACACGGCAAATGTGATACCAATCACTAATACAGTAGTGACTCAATAGTGACTTGACAGTATATAGAGCGAATACCAGATCATATCATCAATGGTAATCGACTCTAATTCAAATTTGTTCTGGGCTTCCACTTCTCATTAGAACTTTGTAAAATCCATCTTTAATCCTATCAGAAAGAGGTACACGATTATTTTCAGTGGTATTTGAAGCGTGTTTACAAACATTATCCTTTTCAAAGATAATGACGACTTTTTTAAATGTATTTATTAAGCAATATTAATGGACCAGAGTTTTCACTCTCAGATCTTGTAAATGAATATTAACATTCTGGCTTTGATGCTAATAATATTTGCAAACTGTATTGGATTTTTATAGTTGAAGTCTGAGCAAGTTAATTTCTTTCATCCAGAACGATTGTATCGACCTTTACAATCACAAAAATCTATGAATGTTGTTGGTAGCATTTTGAAAATACTATTTCTGTTGGTATTTCTTTGTAGTCTAAACAAAATTGACTGATGGAATTTAACCATCACGAAGGTCCAGAAAAACATGATATTAGTTACTATGAAGTGATCAATAAGTGCAGAAATCACAATACTACAAATCAGTCATGCATCAAGCAGCTCAGTAGTAACTACTCAGACTGTGTGATTGATTGATAATGGTTTGAAGCAAACAGGAAGCACCAGTTCTCTAAAGATCGCCATTATTTTTCGTTCATAAGTGACATTTAATAAGGAACCTATGTCCAGACATCTCAACGACTACACCAAACTATCTAACACGAAAACTGAGTTTATGTACAAATGAAAACTGGGTATGACAGATGACTTGGTTCAGACAGTCTGATGTATCATAAAGATTAAATAAATGGTTTATGATTGGTAGTGATTACCCTAAAGTCAGTTTGATATGACAGCTAATACACATAAGTTGTGTTCCATCTTGTTCCTTTTCCCAGTAGCTGATATCCTCTGTAGCAATAAGAAATATCGAACGGCATCGGGTAGTTGTTTCATCTTTATATGAATACTGCCCAGCTCTGCTCAGCTATGACTTTGTGGAACATGTCAACTCATTGAATTACTTAATACAAAACTATGGAACAGTGTTAGGAATTATTAGTTGATAAATTGTATATATTTTAATGATTAAAACAATGGATTTATGCTTATATACGTGTGAGTGTTATATTGCCCGCTAGAACTCATTACAGATGATTTTAAAAACTTTATGATTTATTTTATTCTGGTAACATTTGTTTCTGTCAAATATAAACTTGTTATTGGTTGTAGAGAATGTAAGAGAATGTGCTTTGTTACCAGTTTACTAGGTTTGGTAACTTCAGTTAATTTGATTAATAAATACAACTGATTGTTTTAAACAGGAAAATCTATCTTTAACGTATTAGGCTAATCCTTCTTTAGGTGTACTGTCGTCTGGAAATTAGAATTCTTAGAACTGTCCACCTGAACATACACAAATATAAGTTACTAGTAAAATGATACATGTCATCATTGGCATTAATGCATGTAAAGACGTATGGAAGTGACTAAGGCTGGAGAAAAACGTGAAAATCTGGATCCAGGGAACTGTAAGAAGTCCAGAAAGTTTATGGAAGCATGGGATTCAGGCCAACCATGAGCAAAATAGATACATCAAATTAAAAAGATCTGTCAATTCATTTAGAAACTGTCAGTTAATAACCTGAACAGAGTTCAACGGAACAAGGCAATTAGCTTCAATATTAGGACAAACAAAGACAATGAAAATTACGAGGCCGGCCAGAGACAAATAAGGACATCAAATGCAATTTGATTTAAGACTTCCATATGAATTACACGTTTGTAATATTATCAAAATCTGATATTTAAGCTCCTTAGTTAAACCATCTACTTCACAGAACTCAAAACCACCTAAAAAGCTCTTTATTAGCTTGTCTCTTATAAACAAAATACTGTCTGATTAGTATCTCCAAAAACGCGCTAATACAGTCTTTCATTTTATTACTTTCTAATACTGATTTCACGGATACCAAGTTTGAAAACTGAAATGACGAGAAAATTTGTATTTTGGATGAACATTTTCGGTTTCGTTGTTTTTTTAAAAATCTGAATGATTTGAACCTAGAGCATCCATCATCATTCTAGGCTTCGTCATCAGAGCCCGCTTCATGTCGAAAATGGCTATTTAGTTATTTCACAATTGTTAAATTAGACTGTTCTGATGAATTTACCTGTGAATGGTTCTTTTCGTAAATTTTCTCAGAATAATTTACCTTTGTATCTCTGTTGACTGTCTTGTTCGGCCAACCTCTCGTCATATGATGAGTTGATATTTTTCATATAGATAAGTAAACAGTGTCTGTGTCAATATGCATATTGATTATCAACATGGAGTTGTGGAGATTAGGAAGTTTTTGATTGAGATCATGAACCCATTGATGTTAGACCACCATTGAAAACATGGAAGCTCTGGAAGACCGTTTCGTTCTATTGTGCAACTTCTTAGGAGTGCACATCCAAGATCCCTAGTGTAGGATTCGGACCCAGCACCTTCGGTCTCGCGCGCAAGTGCTTAACCTCTAGATCACTGATCCGGCATACAGTGGTGTTGATGTCTAACCTCAACCAAACCGCGAAATTGCGCGGCCATCTTCCATTGTACTGAGGTAGATACCTGTCCCTAGCCGTTACGGATTAGCTTCACTGGTTCTGAATGGCAAGGTTTCCCGAATTCTCGACTAAAAATTATGTGACTTAGGAACCCCATGGTTTATGACGATGTTCAAATGTTTGTGTATATTTTTGTGTGTTATGATCTATACCCTCGTACTTAAAGGAGTAAAATTAGAGAAAAAGCTTTGTACTTAACTAATAATAAATAGATTACAAAAGTTAGCTCTTTATTAGTATTCGACTTAGATAGTGAATGTTTTTCACTTCACATTTTATGCTTGATTGTATTAATCAGAATGAAATTATTTATACATGAGTTGATACTTGAGTTTATCAAATTGTATTCTCATGTTTGTCATATATTTAGGTATACAATTAAGAATAATATAACTAAGTATACCATTGAATGAATACATTTGAGCCAGTTTTAACATTTTTTTAAACAAATTTTTACTCAACTACTTATAAGTAGCTTATAAGTGGTACTTATAAGTGGCTATCAGGACTCAGTAGCTGAGTAGATAACGCGATGGCGTTTGAAGCGAATGGTACTGGGTTCAAGTCCCAGAGCGATCAACTCATGCATGCACGTCCAGCTGATGAGTCCCGAATAGGACGAAACGCGTGCGTCTTGAATTCCACTGCTAGCCACTATTCATCTTTGCTTATAAAGCTTTTGAATTAAAGTAATATCAGGGCAATACGCATAGTATGAACATATTGCCAATAACAGGCTGATCAATTGCAGTTTTAAAACTCGATGGGAAGATTCAAGCAAAACAATACCAAGTGAATTTACTTAAAAGTAGGTTGAAAATTATCTACTTGAACTTTTGTATAAATAGAAACATCTAATGCATAAAAATATAGTTTGACAGATCCAAATAAGATCTTCATAATTAACAATGAAAACTTTTTTACGTAAGCATATCCTATAAGTATACATTTCTATTTAAATAAGAATAAACCCGGATTGGCTTATAAACCACCATAAATACTATAGATGTCTTATTTTTTTATAATTAATTACATGGTGCAAACTAATTAAGAAATTTTACTGGTTGGAATCATGAGTCAATTAAAGCTAGACCACCATAGAAAACCTGGAAGCACTGGACGGCCGTTTCATCCTAGTATGGGACTCCTCAGTAGCGAGCATTCACAACCCCACCCTCACGAGATACGAACCCAGGACCTATCAGTCTCGCGCCAGGCGCTTAACCAACTAGACCACTGAGCCGGGTTGGTTGAAGTTAGACATTAACACCGTTGTATGCTGGCTCATTGGTCTAGAGACTAAGTGCTCGTGCACTAGACCGACAGGTTCTGGGTTCGAATCTCGTGGGGCCCACTGCTGAGTCCTGTACTAGAGCAAAACAGCCATCCAGTGTTTCCAGATTTTCCATGGTGGTCTAGCTTCAATTGACTCATGATTTCAACCAGTGAAATTTCCTAAAATCTATACAAAACCCATTCTGATAATTAAGAAATGTCATATTTTTCTTTAATCTATACATTTCACTTACATCTTTTCCTACCAAACTCAACACTTTCATCATCATCATCATCATCATCATCATCATCATCATCATCATCATCATCATCATCATCATCATCATCATCATCATCATCATCATCATCATCATCATCATCATCATCATCATCATCATCATCATCATCATCATCATCATCATCATCATCATCATCATCATCATCATCATCATCATCATCATCATCATCATCATCATCATCATCATCATCATCATCATCATCATCATCATCATCATCATCATCATCATCATCATCATCATCATCATCATCATCATCATCATCATCATCATCATCATCATCATCATCATCATCATCATCATCATCATCATCATCATCATCATCATCATCATCATCATCATCATCATCATCATCATCATCATCATCATCATCATCATCATCATCATCATCATCATCATCATCATCATCATCATCATCATCATCATCATCATCATCATCATCATCATCATCATCATCATCATCATCATCATCATTATATTTGTAGATTATTTGTCCTAATCTATTGATTTGTATCATTATTTTCTTTCCTAGTTTTTTTTCATTATCCCTAATGGGAAACAGATTGAAAACAAAAAAGTTAATTACATAAACAACATTTCAAAATATTTGCTTAGACTACATTAATGAACCTGTTAGATAGACGAATACAATTCGCATACATATAAATTGGTATATATATATCTATTTAGTTAATGTTTATTCATGAGACAAAATGAATTCTTGTTTACAACAGATGAAATAGTTGTTTGTTTGTTTGTTTTTGTCTTTTATACGCTGTCTTCCATTTAATTATTATTATTATTGTCGTCAACGAATGAATATAAGAACCTTATTTTTCCAGGAGGGGGGAGGAGAAGTAAAATAACATGAAAAATAGAGATTTGTAATGAGATAAAACAAGAGAGATAGAGAGAAATCAATGTGATTTTAATGCTTTTCAATATTGATTTATTGTGAAGAAGTACCAAAAGAGGAAACTTTTATTAGTAATGTAATTTATTTACATTTCTGTAAAAAGTAATAGTAATTAATTTGTTCATATAAATAAATAGAGATTTTCCCTTATAATCAGTTATGATTTACTTTTATTTAAATGTACCAGAAAATCAAAAAAGTCATGGTACAATCATATCATTAATACTTGTATTTTTGCAGTAATTTATTGATGACATTAACTAGAGAACACATTATGTGTATTGCTATATCCGAATGAAGAATAAGTGAATGGTAACTGGTGCGATCTATTTATGGACTGTTTATATATATTCTTATTGTATAACTATTAAGTAACAAGATCGTATATGTTTATATTTCCCTTATTATAAGCTTTCATTTGACATACTGGGTACTATTATATGACTTGCTATTTTTAAGTTATCCTCATATTTATCAGTTACAGTATATTATGTAACCAGGAAGCATCATTGATTAAAAAGGAGGATCTGATGCAGACATAACGGCGAGGATTAATAGAACAAGAACAGAATTCCTATAATTGAAGAATATATGGAACTCAAAACAACTGTCAATCAATATCAAGGTTACAATCTTCAATACGAACGTCAAGACAGTTCTACTGTACGAAGTTGAAACTTCAGGAACTACTACAACCATAATCAAAAAAGTAAAAATATTTATAAACAGTTATCTACACAAGATAGTCAACATCCATTGGCCGGATACCATCAGCAACAATCTACTGTGGAAGGGAACATACCAGGTTCGAGCTGAAGAGGAAATTAAGAAAATATGCTGCAAGTTGATAGGATATACATGGAATAAACCGTTAAACTGCATCATAAGACAAGAGCTCACCTGGAATCCTTAGGGGAAACAGAAAAGAGGAAAACCAAAGAACACACTGTGTCGAAGATTGGAAGTAGACATGAAAAGGAAGAATAGCAATTGGAAACAACTGAAATTTATTGCTCAGGACAGAGTTGAATGGAGGGTGCTGGTGGATGCCCTATGCTCCTCCCCGAGGGGGAATGGGCGTAAGTATCTCATATTCACAGTCACTCTTGGCTTGATTTTGTATAATTGCTATTTTCTATTTTATGATATGATATGGTCTGATTTGCTTGTATGTAAACTGGGTATGTCTGAAATACATGACCCATACACTAGAAGCTGAAATAATGTTAGGGCTAGGCCAGAAGAACCAATAAGTGCTCAGAATTGACTTCAGGCTGTCCGTACTAGTTAACGTGTTATTAGTTTGGTACAGTACTAAGGTTAAATAAGTCACTGTTTCTATTGGCGATTTTGTCATGTGATAAGAAACAGGGCATATGAACATGACTAATTATATCTGTTGACTTAAGTACCATACACTATAGAGTAACCTCTAGTTCTTCAGTCACTATTATTCTTTTCTACATTTCTATTGATCGTCTGCCTTGAAACAACTTGGTTTTAGTTCTATATACTCTTTTATTAACTTTTAAATATTATGTTACTATTTTACACAAACTTTTGTCCCAATTATTATTCTTTATTCAATATCCCTGACAATCTTAGTAACTATTCTATATCTTAACAACCATAACTACAAATTTTTAATAAGAATAATATTTGTCCATTTTCTTTCTATGATTTTCTAATTATACTCGATACATTTTCTTTTTTTAGCAAGACTATTATTATTGTGCAGAAGAAGTATATACATTTGCAGTTGCACGAATTTGAGAATGAACTCTTCGTTGAAATAATCTTTCTTGTTCTTATGCATCAATGAATATATATCACTTATAGAATAAAGATTGAACACTATGTAAGTATTAATCCTAAATCAACCAGTGCAAAATATTCAAATTTGAACGAAACTGTTTGTTGAAATGGTGAGATTATAATTTATAGACGACCTTTGAGTGACGCTGAAGTGACCTTGGGAATGCTCACCTACTTACTAGGGCTAAATGAAGGTTATAAACCAATGTAAGGAATTAGGATTATGATTTACAGTTGGTGGTTAAGTTTAAGAATTAAATTTAGAGTTTCCAACACGGACTGACATCAGCTAAAATGTCAAGACGCTATTTAGACAAATGAATGAATGAATTTCGCGCCAAAATCTGAGACCTGTCATCCTAAATCTGATTGATACGTCCACCAACTGTAGTCTCGCCGAAAATAAATAAATTTTCACAGATTATTCAATTAATTATTCAATATGATCTCTAGTTGTATACTGCTAGAGTGTATGAATGGTATGAACGTGCTTATGGAATATATCTTTGTAAATAAGTCGAGATCACTGAATGTCGAATAGTCCACCGGTCCCCATCAGGGATAACCAACGTGCATTAATTAATAGCACGCCATGTGATGGTGGTCACAACTTCTCTCTTGCACTTATTCTTATTAATTCATTTCTGTAATGACATCCTTTGAGTTATACGGTTTTCAAAGTTGCCGTAGTACCTTGATACGACGAGGGAATAATCCACGATAGGTGCTGATCACAAGGTGTGACTTCGAAGTTAGGTGTTGGTCATACCGTTCCCGTTTTACTCGAGAAGGCTCCCAATTATTTGACATAGATCATCTACGGTGGTGATCTACAACCTTATCAAATGTTTTGTTACCATTGCAAAGCTGATATTTTTCATACTGAATAGATTTTATATTATAAACATAGAAGGTTTTTTTAAATAAACGTGTTAACACACAACACGTTATTACAAACTTTTTACGAAAGTAGCATTTTTCCCCATTGTAGGATTGAAGTTGTAGTAATCTAATAGAGAATGATAAGATAAATGAAATGTAAGAAGAACGCACTTTTGAAGTTCGGCGTCAATGGAAATATTTTCTTCATAAGTGATTTATAATACAAATTGATTTCTGTTGTTAAAAAAATATTAAATACCAGTTGTGTTTGTAAACGTTTTCGAATTCCGCTTTCAGTATTTTTTTCCCGCACATTCATTGATGAGCTTTTTAAGAGTATCTTTTGTTAGCAACTAAGAGGCATCATCAATAAGTCTCGCTTCAGTTAGTATTTATCACTTTTGTTCATTTGAGTGTTTTCATACTTATTAGAAATAGATGCATCCTAAGATTTGTAAAGCCAGATTATTTAATTTAGAACAGTTTTCAATAGGAAGTTGTGAAGATTGTTGAATTTTATTGAAATGATGAATGGATCAGTGCTAGACCACGACTGAAAACCTAGAAGCACTGAACGACCGTTTCTTTTTAGGATGAGACTCCTCAGTGGTGCGTGTTCATCACTCTGTACATGGGAATCAAAGCCAGGACCTTTGTCTCGCATGAAAACTTTCAACCTCTAGACCACTATGTCGGTGTACAGCAGTGTAATTGTCTAACGTTAACCAATCCACGATGTCGTAAGACCGTTTTCCATTGTCTTTGGTGTGCGATTGCCTCACACTCGACACATTTGGAGTCCATCGGTCACGGCTTCTCATTAGAACTCCGAGAATTCCCTATCGGAGCTAGTGGATAGTGAGTACATCAAAATTTACAGTATGGGGTCGTGAAGAATGTTAAATTTCATTGAAGTCATGTACCGATCAATGTTAGACCATAATTGAAAACCTGGAAGCACTGAATAACCGTTTCACCTTAGGATGAGACTCCCCACTAGTGCGCGTCCACAATCTCGCACAATGGAATCGAAGCCGTTACCTTCAGTCTCCCACATGAACGCTTAACCTCTAAATCACTAAGCTGTAACCCATTTTGTGTTAATGTCTAACCTCAATAAATCCACCAAAACTGTTGCTAGTCACAATTAACTATTCACTTAATTGAACCAACAGTACCCACTGAATCTGTGTTAATTCACAGAGATTAATATTCACAGAAATCTTGATTTCTGGATCTTGATTCTTTGAACCATTTAAGAGTTCAGACATTATCTGTTATTGTATCAATATCGAGTATAAATTCCATATGAAATATCTACTTTTTAATACGCATAATCATTCAACAGAGAACACTGAATGGTTTATACTTTACTTTTTCTACTTTAAATGTTATAGAATATAAAACAGAGTGTTTAGAAGGTACTTTTTTTCTAGAACAAAGATATACCCTACTTAGTATGCAGGAACTAATATTCTCTAGAGATAATCTTATCATATAACTAATAACAATTAAGATCATTATTCATCATTTAATCATAATTATAAATAAGTGTTAACATTTCCCATTTATGTTATATGTTACAAACTAGATTCATTTTTTGTTTACATAATTATTGTACACTATATGAACGAATGTTACATAATGTTATTATTAGCTTACAATAGTAATGTTCTATTGTACTTATTATTGTTACTACCCTTATTATTATTATTACGGTTGTATGTGTTACACAATCACATTGGTCTACAGTTCACTTTTTCATATGCTTGTCCAGTGCAAGTAGGAAAAAAAGATTAAACAGAAATACACAGGTATACTACTAGTCAATGAAAAAATAAATAACAAACACAACAATGTTTAGTTTAAGAG